GTTAGCAAAACCACTAGGACACATCAGCACCCTAACTCACAGGTGTCCAAACATTTGGCTTGTGTGGGCCACACTAAGTGAAGAGGATTTGTCTTGGGCTGTGCATACAGAAGTTACTTTGAAAGTAATGCCCCCTTTTTTGTTTAATGGGATATTGGTGGGAAGGTTCAACCTCTACTGTTATACCACCAACATCTGCCTCTAATGTCTTAGACCAACATCATAGAATAAGAGACATCATTTTCTGAGCAGCCCACGTAAAATATGCAATATCATTAACATAAAATAATCCTGATTTTTAATGTTTTTATTAAAACATTAAAAAAAAAAAAAAAAAGAACAACAACAAAACGATAAGACTAGTTGGAAATTTGACCTTGTCTTCGTGAGAAAAATGCATCATCCTTGTTCAATGGCAGTGGTTGCAATCCTTAGTGAGATCTCAAGGTCTTCATCAGATTTTTTAATGACATTTTACTATTCATGTGCTTCATCCTTGAGAACAGTTGTTCACAACCGTGCATACTGCCAAAAAGCTATAACATGATAAAGTGTGGTTGTGAGGGAAGAATATTTCTCTCTGATAAGAGAGGGCTTATAGAAGTGCAGAAAAGAGACACGATCTGATTTTTGAGTTAAATATCTGATTGCTACTCTACATATTCTCCTTGAAAACTTGCAGGTCAGACAAGTAGTAACTAAAAATGATGTCATAAATATTAATTAATTTTTTTTTGAGACCCATGTTCTGGTTTCAGTCAACACAACATCAATAGCACACCAATGTTTGGTTGTTGTGAGCTCTGGGGACGATGCAGGGAAGAGCCGCTGCCTTTATAGCACAGAGTCATGACCAGCAACCTGGCCAAGGGTTGGAGTGGCTGCCCTAAATGAAACAGTGAACAAATACATTGAGTCTAAGCTAACTTACATACACAAGCATAGAAAAACTCGACCCTCTGTGCAGCAGAGCTAAATCTTGACAGTTGCAACAGCTTCAGAACAGCTTTAGATATAGTATCCACACTATTTTTTCTCTACTTTAAAAGTTGCTTATTTTGCATTGTCAACTATGAAAATCATAATATGAATAAATACAAATTTAGAGCACACCCTAAAAGGTTCCTTCAAGAAGAGAAATAAGTATTTATTTATAGCATAGTCAAGGTTAATAAAACAAACTTCCTGAGACGGGACAAGATCCAAGAAATAATGTAAATTGCAACGCGCCATTTTCACCTATGTACTTCCCTGATCAGGACAGGAAAACAAACAAACAACAAACTGTCTAATATTGCCTGCAAGAAGCTAAGGCAGGTAAGCAATGCGATATCTGCTACACACAAACGCTAGTCCCTTGTCTCTTATATTCAAAAATAATTATCCTCCATGATCTTGAAGCCTACCTTTCACAGAAATTAACGTCTGTTCAGTTTATGTAATCACAGAATCACAGAATTGCCAGGGTTGGAAGGGACCTCAAGGATCATGAATCTCCAACCCCCCTGCCACACGCAGGGCCACCAACCACTCCACCTAATGCTAGACCAGACTGCCCAGGGCCCCATCCAATCTGGCCTTGAACACCTCCAGGGACGGGGCCTACAGCCACTGTCTGCTGTACTCTTAACATCAGGTTTCACAGGTGGCGAAATTTTATATAAGCCCACACAATACAGTTTGCTGCCTCCAACCACTATCTAAGCTTCTGTCGCTAGCTCAGTCAAGACAAACCTCTCCTGAAGTTTTTGTGAAGTTTCTACCATAAGCCTGACACAGCTGACTGCATTTGGAAAGCCCCATGGTCCCTATTTCCTTTCCGGCTACTGTGCTGAGATGGGTAGCATCTAAGATCCTTTTGTAGACCTGTAAACAAACAATTCCTTTCATAATCATTTGACTCATCTTTAAAAACAAATGCAGCCTGTGATAGGATGTACAGCCTCACTCTTCTTCTAATTGCATTAATTTTTCCACCCCAAAATAGCAAGTAATATGTCTGATGTCTAGATCAAGAACACAAAAGTTTTCAGTCTTTACACTCTTAAAATCACATAGGATCAGTATCCTTTTTCACTTATTCTACAGTCTCTGCTCTGTCTGCTCTGTTAGAACACAACCCTTCCTACAAGGCCAGCCTCAAAACTCACCCAGACGTCTGCAGCTAAGGTGTAGAACTGTTTCTGTTACTCCAGTGACTTTCCAAACTCTGTAAGTTTGGTGGTACTTAATGAAATAATCTTTCATGTGATTACTAGTATGTCTCAGAAGAATAACACCAGAGGCTCCTAGGCACACACATAATAAAAATATTTTTTCAACTTGGAAAATTTCCTGTAAGATTTGCCAGTTACATTTATCAGCTTTGTCTGGGCTAGATTAGCAAACAACAGTAATTTGTTTAGTGGTTCTCTTTTTAATTTTACCTTAGCTTGTGCCAACATGATATCATATATCCTTCAGTAACTCTTACATACTTTTTGTTGCAAAAAGGCTCACTTTCTGGACCATTTGGCGAAGAAATAGTACTCTACAGTAACTTTCTAGATGTCAAAAAACTTCATTTTTCAGTGAAACTAGTCCAGTTCAAAATTAAAATGTGCATATACATTATTTTACACTTTCCCTGTAATAAGGGCAAGCACTACAAATTGTTCTGCCAAACAAAACAGTGAAGAAATCGCAGCTGTATCCTATTAACCTTAATGACAAATTAACGTTTGATATATTGAAAACTTCACCCTAAATTCCTCACAATTCCTCCTACTTCTCAAGAGCACATGGCACTTTATTTGAAACTCCTGTGCTACAATCTAACATTTAAACTCATAGGAAACAAGCCACAAGGATCAAAATTTCTCATCTGTTAGTGGCACCAAAAAATATCTCCCTAACTACTCAATTTTCATAGACGGTATCAACCTTTCTATCTCAGACACTTGTAGTTGGCTTTCCATGAAAGTATCTTGATGAAGAGAAAAAAATACAAGGAAAACTGGAATATTTCCATTCAAAATTATATTTATTTCAATCAGTACCCTCTATGTACCATAGCATTATCCCAAAGAACAATGTTATGCTTGACGTGCTATCTTTCAAATAACAGCAAGGTCCCACAGGATGATAATGAATATCAAATAGCATTTTTCCCCAAAAGAGCAAAATATTCTGCTGAAAGCATTCTACAACAGCACATAATCAGTGAAAATTCTATTCTGAATGAAGTGATGGGACCTTCATTCAAAAATAAAATAGCTCAGGTAAACAAAAAGTGTTTTATTTAAAAGATCTGCAATGGAGCAGTAAGCAAGCTTATTATAAGCTATCACAGTAGATAACATTATATTAAAAAACAAACAAACGAAAAAAAAACAACATAAAAAAAAGAACTACCATAAAGAGCACACCCACAAACAGAATTACAGAGCTAGAGAAAGTTAGGTGACCACATGGAAGCAGGCCTGACTATACCATAAGTAAAAACTAAGCACTGCAGTTTCCTCTATAGAGGCAGATGCAATGTTTCCATTTCAGTAACTAATTCACACTGAGGAACCAGAAGTGCAACAAAACAGGAAAACCAAACCTGTTTTCTTTTTCCAGCACACAGACACGAAAGTTCAAAAGTATTACTGTTCCTAAAATTTAGAATCTTGGTAGTCAGTAGAGGCTTAACTGCTCATTGCTTACCTGTAACCACTTTAACTGAATTCTAACTAAAGTAAATGTGAAAAATCAAACACACTAATATCAGGTTACACTAGATAGTCAGGCCGCTTTTAGAACGTTCTGCATATTAACAAGTTTGCCTAGAGCGGTGGTGAAAAACATCCCTGGAGATGCTCAAGACAAGGCTGAGCCATCTCTGAGCACCCTGATCTAGCTGTAAAGTCACTGCTCAGTGCAGAGCAGTTGGACTAGATAACCTTTAAAAGTCCCTTCCAACTCCAAAGACTTTATACTTCTGCAACTCAAAATTGCAGTTATCTAAGCTGCTACTGCAAGTCAACTTGTTCTTCCACTGCCTATGTTTCTTTCAGTTGGTTTCAAGAATTTTAATGGAATAAAACCATGATTCCATTACAAAAGCATACTCTGTACAAATGACCCCGTTATCTTGCAGCATCCCACAGCAACTACATAAAATCATAGGTGTTGGGTGGGACCTTTGGAGATCATCCAGTCCAACCCTCCTGCTAAAGCTGCTTCCCTAGAATAGCCACAAGATTGTTCATAAACATTCAGAAATCGGTTGTGACAGCAACACGTTACTGCACACACAGAACAGCCACAGCAAGGTTCTTCCACACAACTTGTCACAACACATGTAGCCTTGGCTTTACTGAAGTCCCTGACAGGCCCAAATGTAAACCTCCAAAGAAAATTAAAATAAAAATGAAGGAACAAAGCAACCATAACCAACCAACGAGGAGCAGGGGAAAAAAAATCCCAGGCTTGGTTTAAACTGAAAATGCTGCATGATTTTCACAGTGAGCCAAAACAAGGTCTGCTGCTTCTGAATGGTGTGATTGGCAGGGTCTAAGCTTTCAAAGTCAGCTTTACCAAATATGTAAAATCACTACATATTTTTAACAGCTTCCCTTACAGACAATAAAGTGACAACAGCAACATGAACTACTAGGATCTTTTAATCAATTGGGCTCTTCAGTTATGGGAAACACGGTCATGACAAGGGCCTTTATCCAAGCACTGTCAGCATGGCTCTGTGACCCCAGCACCACACAGGTGGTCTTCACCGAGACAGAAAAAAGGAAAAGAGCCAATGCAGAGAGGCACTGCCCACCTCGTGCTGCTCAAAGTACCTGAGGCACAACCGCATTCCCCTGACGCTCAAAGCAGGGGTACGCCAGTTCGACAAGTACTAGAAGCAGCAACGGCCGCCCCGCCCTACAGTGCCACTTCCGAAACGACGAACCCGGACTCAGGACCGGACCCCGACGCCGGCCGGCCGGCAGTGAGGGCGGAGCGCCCGCACTCACCTCCTTCCGTCCCGCCGCGCCTCCGCCGTGCGCCGCTTCCGCCCGCACGACCCGGCCGCCGCGCCGTCGAGCGGCAGCCAATCAGCGAAGCCCGTTGCCCCTTCGTCCCGCCCTCTCTGGGCATTCTCCACCAATGAGAGCGATCCGCCCCTCCTCGGCCCGTCCCTGAAGGGCGCCGGCACTTCCCCCCGCACCCGCCGGAAGTGTGATGTGGCCGTGAGTGCGTCGCCATGGTAAGCGCGGGGCGGCGGGCGGGAGGTGCCGGGCCCGTGGTGTCTGTCCGGCCCTGAGCCCTTTCTGTCCGTTCCGAGTCCCTTTCTGAGGGGCTGACGTTCTCGCTTCTCTCCAAGGGGCCCGAGCCCGTGAGTTCAGCCGCTTGAAGGGGTAGAGAGGCCTCTCTTAGTGCTCCTTGGACAGCAGGCCCGTAGCAATGCCTGGGCAGCACGGGGCTGTGCGCGGGGCACGCTTTTGCCTTCTCACCCTGCCCTGTTAGGGGCACGCTGTTGGTGCAGCTGAGGCACGTTTTGTAGTTGGAGCAGCAGGCCGGCTTCTGACGCGGGCTCCTGTTGTTTTTCAGTAGCGTTGGATGCCCAGTAACATTGGGTGCCTGTGTCCACTTGCTTAGCGAGGAACTGGGTGACACACACAGACTTGACCTAGAAGCCTGTTAGTGCTGTGGTTCAAATTTTCTGTGGTGTCTCTGTTGTCTGTTATTTTTTTTTTTTTTTTTTCTTCCTTATACGTTCTGAAAATATAAGCAAAGGATTTGTGTTTGAATTAGGCTTTAAATCTTTATCAACTATGATATCAAACGTTAAATGAGTGGCACGAGTACAAGATTTGAATGTTAAAAAGAAGAACAAAGAAATAGCTTAGGAAAGAAAGTCTTATTTATGAAAGGTTTGTTCACAATTTTTATTTCAAACCAAAATTCATTTTAAGATTGACATTTTCAGAATATTTTGGATTGCTTACTCATCAACAGTGGTGTATATACTGTGCAGTTTTAACTGAATCTTTCAGTAATCCCCACATATTTATTAAAAGATTAGTATCTCTTGAACTTTATGGCATGGTTCAAGAAAAATTCCTAGATTCTAGATCTTATCACCAAAAAGAAAGTGCAGGAAGTGGTTTGCCTCATCATTCCTTAGCAGATTTTTCAGACGAACCTGGGCTAAACATGTTCCAGGAAAGGTTGTGGAGCTGATAATCTTGGGTGAGATCACATGGCATGTACAGGGGGCATCAGGCCCTGTCAGCATGGGTTCATAAAAGGCAGATCCTACTTGACCAACTTCATCTCTTATTATTATCCTCCTGATGGATGTGGAAAAGGCTGTTGACGTGGTCTACCTAGACTTCAGCAAAGCCTTTGACACTATCTCCCACAGTATTTTCTTGGAGAAGCTGACATCCCATGCCTTGGACAGTTACACTCTTCGCTGGGTAAAGAACTGGCTGGATGGCAGGAACCAGAGAGAGCTGGTGAATGGAGTTAAATCCAGCTGGCAACTTGTCACAAATGGTGTTCCCCAGGGATCAGTACTGGATCCTCTGCTATTTGGTATCTTTATTGATCTGGATGAGGGGATTGACTGCACCTTAGTAAGTTTACAGATGAGACCAAGCTGGGAAGAAGTGTTGATCTGCATGGGGTAGAAAGGATCTACAGAGGGATCTGACAGGTTGGATTGCTGTGGCGAGGCCGATAGGATGTAGTTCAGTAAGCCAAGTGCTGGGTTCTGTACTTTGGTCACAGCAACCCCAGGCAACACTACAGGTTTGAGGCAGAGTGGCTGTAAGAAACAGACCTGAGGATGTTGCTTGTCACCTGGCTGAAAGTGAGCCAGCAGTGTGCCCAGGAGGCCAAGAAGGTCAATGGTATCCTGGCTTGTAGCCAGCAGGATCAGGAAAGTGAGGCTGCACCTTTGGGCTCCTCACTACTACAAGAAAGACATGGAGTTACCAAAGCACATCCAGAGAAGGGCTTCAAAGCTGGTGAGGGGTCTGGAGCACAAGTCTCATGAGGAGCAACTGATTGAATTGGGAATACTTAGTCTGGAGAAGAGATGGGGCTCAGGGGAGACTTTTTCGCTCTTTACAGCTGTTTGAAAGGAGGTTGTGTTGAGCTGGAGGTCGGCCTCTTCTCCCATGTAACTAGCAATAGGACTAGAGGGAACAGCCTCAAGTTGTCTGAGGGAAAAAATTCTTCTCCAAGAGACACTGGAATAGGCTGCCCAGGGAAGTGGTTGAGTCACCATCCCTGGTAGTATTGTACTGAGATGTTGTACTAAGGGACGTGGTTTAGTGGGAAATATTAGTGATAGATGGACAGTTGGACTGGATGATTTTGAGGTCTTTTCTAATTTTGGTGATTCTGTGATTCTAAATCATATTTCCAAGCAGTGGCCAAAAAGCTCTCATGATAAGAGGCAAGAAAATGTGGCAGGTGAGAATGAAGAGACAAGTGAAGTCATCACCTTTAATCAGTGCCTTTAAAAGGTAGATGTTACAGAAGTACAACAGAAGATGTTACATCACCACCTTGCTGTTATCATAGCACTTCAAAAGAGACTGCAGAAAAAAAGCAGGAGAACACGGATGATCAGTGAGGTACTTCATGTTGGTCAGTTTAGCATTTATATGTAATATTAGTTCTTCCATCTAGCACAAAGGTGATGGCATGCATATGGATTCTTGTGAGCTTTCTTTTTCACTGTCTGTATTACTTTCGAGAGATTGGGCTGCATTTTTAAAGTAAGTTAAAGTAAGCTGGGGTTTCTTAATGAAGTTGTTTTCATGAATTTATGGAGGTGAAAATAAATTTCCTCAATCTTTGGAATTCTAAATTTCCTCAGTGAAACGATAATCCCTGGGGTGTATCTAGGAATTTGGATTGTCAGCGATGCTGCTTCTGGTGCCATTGCTCTGCTGCGAACATTTACCTTGTGGAATTAACAGTCATGAACTGTTGTTTATTACGTTTTATTTTGCATGCATAATTGACTGTGGGAAACAACTTTGTCTAAGTATCATCAAAGGGAAGAGAGTATAGTCCAGTTTGTTCTCTTTCTCAAAAAGGAAAAGAAAAAAAAAGAGCTGCACCTGTGACAAACTGGTAGTTTTGTAAATAGAATAATTTTTAAAAGAGATGAAGTCTACTGGAAATTATGCTTTAAGTTCCATCCCACTGTCCTCCAGGCCTTCTAATCAGATAATTAGTTTGTAAGTCCAGATGTATGCTTTGTGAGAGGCCAGCTACTGCCAAACAGTATGAATGGAAGCTGACTTGTACCTCTCTTTTCCTTTATCTGAAAGCACAAATTTTTGTGTTTGTCTCTGTTTCCTGCCTGTGAGTAGTACAGTTTTAGCTTCAACTAACTTTGATAAGGGAATAGATGCTGCCTAATGAATTAAAACAATAATTGAGGGGAAGGAATATAAAGACACAGCTTCTCAGTTTACATAGAAGCAGAAAATCTACTTTTCACATGCTTTCGCTAATCATTATGTCAGTTTGGTCCTGTTGACTTTTGAAAAGCTGTATTTCAGAAAACTCAGCAGAAGTTCTGCTGTTGAAACTGGAAAACGTACCACACATGGTGGGTGGGAAGAGGGTAGAAGCTTGAAGTAACTGTATTAAAGATGATGAGCCTTTCACTTTCTGAATGGAGGTCTTCAGTTTCTTTTGTAGTAAAAATATGCAACTGCAGCCAAACAACATGAATATGCATGAAAACTTCATAGTAGTTATGTGTTTGTAATTGCAGTTCAGCGGTGAAGGAGGAATGCGCTGTTGTAAACTTTGTGAAGATGGCTTCTTCCCCTTCCTATTCTGGTTATGACTGACCTCAATTTCCACATTGTTGCAGAAAATTTAATTTGGAACTTTCCATTAGGACAAACCTTTCTGTCACAACCTCTGTTGCTGTCTTAGAATGGCTTTTATAGAAGGAAGGAAAATTGCTCATAAAAGCTATTCTAAAAACAATGCATAGTAAATATTGACCCAAGACAAGTTTTCTAATACAAACAGTTCTGTATTAGAAAAAAAATGCTTTCCCAAGTCTTTTGTGTCTGGCACATCAGAAGCTAAAGGGAGGAACTAACCCTGATTCAAACTTTCTAACAGCTTTTTTTTGTAATGGGGTAAAAAAAGACAAGATTTAAGAAGTTGTCTTAGGCATATACGTGTCTTTGTATTATGAGTTTATTTGGAGCAATGATATGCAGCTTTTTGCATGTCTTTTTCATAATACCATCAAGCATGAAATGTCTTAAATAAGAAGTGAATGTATTTTCTGGGAGTTTCAGCTATAGTAACAAAGTTTTCATGTGATAAAACCTTTGCTGCCCAGCTAATGTGTTTTTTGTTGTTAGTCTGAGGTTTCTACTCTTTGGCAGAAGCTGTAGTGCAGAAAGATGCTAGGACATTATTTGTGCCCATGCCACAACTGACTTCCATCCCTGCACTCAGCATGTGTTGACCCCCTGCCAGCTCTTACATTCTCCTAAGTATAGGAGTAAATGCAGCTAGCTGTGGAAAAAGTAAGAATAATCTGTGCTCTGTACATTTTCTTCTGTCCGAGAAGTGAAAAGGAGAGAGAGGAAAGGAGAAATATTAGTGTAGCTAAGCAGGGACAAAGAAGTAAGTTCTTTGCTACTCCACTGCTGTTGTCTAGTATGTCAGATACCTTCAGTAAGTGTACGTGCTGCTGTGGGGTCAGAAATCTCTAATTAATGACCACTTAAGTGGCCCATATAGATGCTTCTGTGTCAGTATATCAGATATAAAAATATGTTGTTTTTCTTCTATGATTGCAGAACAGTGGAAATCATTTATTCTGCCATTATAAGATGTATGTTTAATACCTCTCTTAATCTGGTTTTGAAACTGTAGGATGTATTGGATCTACTTTAACAAATTTTTCCACAGACCTCAACAGTGAAGAAATGACAACAATTGAAAGAAACCATTTCCTTGCAGAGTGCCAAACACTTCTTACTCAATGTTTTTGGCAGTGTGTCTATTTTTAAACAAATTGATGCGGTGAAAACATGAAAAGTGTTGAGAAGGTTACTTTTTTTTTTTGTGCAGGTTACTTGAAATTAGTAATGGGTTGATTATCCAAATCCTGATTTAAAAAAAAAAAAAAGTCACAAAATAGAAAATGTGGCAGTGTAAATTTTTTTAAAATTAACTTCAGCATTTAGCACTGTGAACATCCA